AATCTTCCTGATTTAACACTAATACCAAATCATTCCGGAAAGAAGTTGATACTGTTTCAATCACAACTACGAAGTAATGTTTTTCACATTTTAAAACATGTGAAATATTCAGCCCACACCACTGAGACTGAGTTTCCTATCGATTTGCAATCGAAACTTTGAGTGCTTTTAAAATAAATTTTGATACTCGTTTCTCGGACTTGATGCCATTGCGAATCAAATTAAGATTTTCAGAATCCTTTGATACTGACATTGAAACCCTAGCCCCGAACTTCAAATGGAAATGTTGATCTACAGTGCAGTGATATAATAAGAACAATATCAAAAATCATCTTTGGAATTTTATAAGAGTCTTCCACTGACACAATTTGATAATTTGCATAAATTTGCTCGTGGGCTTTTTCTGTTTTGGTACTACTTATTTGTGTGAGAAGACCTTCTCCAAAATGAAATACACAAAAATGTTACAGATCTAAATTAACTGATGAGCATCTTAAATCTCTTTTAATAATTGGTACAAGTAAAATTAGTCCACAACTACAAAAACTATTGTCAGTGGAAATATCAATTACATAAATCTCATTGTATTCATACGTCATTATGCTTGTTATAAGTTATGTTTTTATTTAAAATGTATAAAATTTAGTTGGATTCATTTCAATAATTTATTAGTTATATATACTGAAGTTAAATTTTTGCATATTATACATGTCTTTACTCATTCACATTCTGTGTTTCTTTATCCAACTTATCACAAAAACAAAACAATAAGCCTACAACAATGTTTATGAGTAGTTAGCCATGACCATATCAATGTAGATGTCATATTAATAATTATTCAACATAAAATTGAATACTTCAGTAAACTAAATTTAATTTGCTATAAAAAATATGTTCTCTAAAAGGAGTTTTCAAGTATGCTAGCTCTCCGCGGGCCAGACAAAATCTGTCCGCGGGCCAGATGTGGCCCTCGGGCCGTAGTTTGGAGACCCCTGTTATACATCAATAGCTAACTGCTTACGACGTATGAATGGATATACCTGGGACTTAAATCTCCATATAACGCGGATTCTTCTAAAAACAATCATATCAAAAATGGTAAATTACGGCACCGGAATTTGGACACAACCAATGACAGTGAGAAAGATTAAATGTTTAAATGCAATTCAAAGGCCGTTTACTGTTTGCATTACTCGAGCGTATCGCACAACTTCAAATATTGCTCTTGATACTTTAGCTAGTACTCTTGCACCATCAATCAGTGTAGGAATGGAAAGCACCTACCTGAAAGTCCTTCGACTTAATCAAGCCGCAGAATTTATCAACCATACCTTTCTGCCATCCGAATATGAAAAGAAAATTAACCCCAACCATATTTATCCTGCGCTTCGCTTCCATAAAATAAATTTTCCCATGTCTGAGGAAAGTTCAAATAGTTCATTTCCAGTTGCATACACTGATAGATCAAACACTAAAGGAAAAGCTGGTTCAGCAGTCTAATTTCAAACTGCCCCTTTTAAAGATCATCAAATGAAAAGGTCATCTCCATAATAAAAAGAGTGTTTTCCAAGCGGTAATGTCAGCCATAAGAGCAGTGATTGAAATAGCCATTTAAAAAAATCTCAACAAATTTAACGTAAAATCTGACTCCCAAGCAGCTATTTTAGCGATTAAAAATCTCTTACCTTCCTCTCCATTGATTTCTGACGTAAATTCTCTTCTGGCAATAATCAGGCAGATGAATTAGCCTAAGAAGCATCTCCTAATCAAGATGGTATTGAAATCACCCTTCTATGGCCTGATTCAAATTTCAATGATCAACTGAAACACTTTGCTTCAAAATCTTGGCAAGATTTGTGGAATAATGGCAGGGAATCCCGGGGACTGTGCATCTTCACAAGGGAAGACGCACATATAACTTGATACCAAATGTAGGCTTATCATCGCTGTACTCAATCATTTATTAAATTATTACTCGTATATTACAGGACGCGGACCCTTCCCCACATATTTCTGCCTCAAGAAATATAGTGAACTCCGATATCAGCATAAGCAGGTAACTCCTGATCATTGCACTTTTTCATGCCTCTTAATTAAGGATATTCACAAAAAATCTGTTTAAACTGATCTCCCGGGATTGAAAAGGTTTCTAAGTAAAGACAAACAACAGTATCCGAAGTTAAAAAAAAATTATGCAACGACTCTCTTGCTATGGCCTAGATCTTTGTCAAGTACAAGTTCTTATAATGCATAAATTTAATGCATTTTTATATCCCGTGAATATGTACAAAATGACTCAACTTGTGAACTGTATAAACTGTAATAGCCTTTTACAAATGATATAACCCTATGACACCTACCTCTTTAGTATTATTATTATTTTTATAGTTCATTAAAACATTATGTTTCCAGTACTCATTATGTTTATCTCTATACTGATTATATTAATCTGTTATTTTTGTTGCACCAAAACAGATATGCAATTTAATTTGTGAATTTCAAATTGTATTGAGACTATATTGTAATCCCTTTATGTCCTAAATCATTATTTTTAATAAATACTGAATGCCGGGCGTTCTGTGGGATTCCACGATGTACCATAAACTTTACCAGGTAAACTTTAGATAAAGCTTCAGTTGCCCATTTCCTCGATCTTTCTCAGTAAATTCTTATAAAACGATTCCCGCAGGGCAATGATATGGTGGGAACCAGGGACACGCTATTGGAGGCCAACCATCGTCGAAAGAGACTATTACAGAGGAGGAGGCGTACATGTGTAGGCTGGGATAGCAAAGAACGGCCTCACCGACCTCTACGTGTTTCCTGGTGGTTCCGTCACAACCATCCAATATCGTGACCAAATTCTACACCCTCTTGTAGGTCCTCAATGCTGCAATGAGTACCAACGTGGTGTATATAGACGATAACACCCGCCCGTAAAGAGCAAGTGTGGGACAACGGATAGCACGCCGTCGTGTGTAGCTAGGCACTATCCAAGAGCTCCGACATGCATTATTATAGGAATGAGTGCTACTGTCACAACAAGTGGTTAACAACACTATTTCCAGCTTGCCTCGCCGTTGGCATAATTCACAGTATCGCCACTGAGCGAAGGGATTCAAAAATTGACCAAAGAGCTTCTATTGCTCTTTTGACGCTAAATCTTTGAAACTGTGCATATGAATGGAAGCTGTTGTTTATGTTTTATTCATATATGCATCTTCCTTTGATAATGAGTTTATTCTATGGTGTGAGAATGTGGGTTTTGATAAATGCAAAAAATTAATGCCAGTTTAAAATTCGAAAGAACGCATTCTTAGGTTAGCTATTTTTAGTAAACTTTGAAACGCGGTTACTCTGGAGAAGGGAAGAATTCCATTTCAGGTCGCCTCTTGCAATGCTCAAATTGTTTAAAAAAGAGCAGTAATGAATTTTGCCAAATTGTAAGTATTCGAAAAATTCTGAAACGAAACTGGATTATATTCACGTTACAAATGCAGAAATCATGTGAAACACTCAAGCAGACCAACCCGTTCGCCTCGGTTCAAACCAGGAACGAAATATCAGTATTCAATGCTCTTAAGCCCTCGGTAGTGATGAGTCGGTACTACCGAACCGGATATTTTGTAACGGGTACTGAAAATCGGTACATCCAAGTACCCGTTACTTCAGTACCGAAATCGGTACTTTTCGGTATTCGTTACTCTGTACCGAAACGGGTACTTTTCGGTATTCGTTACTTCTGTACCGAAACAGGCACTTTTCGGTATTCGTTACTTTTGTACCGAAACGGATACTTTTCGGTATTCGTTACTTCTGTACCGAAACGGGTACTTTTCGGTATTCGTTACTTCTGTACCGAAACGGGTGCTTTTCGGTATTCGTTACTTTGTAACGAAAATATGCGTCTCTCTTCTCGGTATTTCGGTATTCGTTACTGGAAGGATCGATGAGGGTTCAGCTCACTTCGGTTTTGGTACGAGGACAGTAGTATCTGGTTGTATTTGCGAAATGGTGATATGCGCTCCTTGTGTCCATGAATGGTCTGCTCCTCAGACACTTCCGTAGTTGACATGTTTTCTGATATTCAAAATCTTACTCCGTACAGATAAAATCAAACACGTGGTGACGTGGCAGAGTTCCTTCAGTGCGCAAAATCGTTAGCTGCGTATTTCGGTACTTCAAATCGTTACTAGGGCACTTCGGTACTCCAAATCGTTACTAGGGTACTTTGGCACTCCGTTACTAGGGTACTTCGGTACTCGAAATCGTTACTAGGGTACTTCGGTTCAGCAAACCGTTACTAGGATACTCCGGTACAGCAAACCGTTACTAGGGCACTACGGTACAGCAAACCGTTACTCCGGTATTTCGTTACTTCGGTACTCCAAATCGTTACTTGGGTACTCGGTACTTGAAATCGGTTTTCGGTACTTTTCAAAGTAACGGTTACTTAAGTAACGGGTATTTTGTACCGGGTACTTGTCTGTACCCGTTACTCTCGTACCGGGTACAAAGAATGTACCGAAGTTGCCCATCACTAGCCCTCGGCCATCAGAAAGATTTTTTAAAGATGTCTAAATTCTAATTTTAATTAAAAAGCATTCTTTTTTTTTTTTTTTTTTTTTTTTTTTGCATTTTTAAACGTCAACAGCAGAACGTAAGTAATGAGCATTTGAAAATATATAACATGCTGAATGAAAATAACTAGCTACAATCTCTTTTATTCGCCATAATCTAATTTTTAAACCTCTAATAGGTTAAATGGTAGTTGAAAAGTATTTTAAAATTTTCTAGAAAGGCTATTCTAAGGGAGATCTTTTGTTCATTTTTATAGCTTTGCTAAGCTTTGATATTTTGAGATAACACTTACATAAATAATATATAAGAAATATACTTTAATATTTTTTATCTGTTTCATCTTGATAATGTATAGAGTTAATTGTTTAAAATAAAAACTAGTAATATCTAACATATCTAATGACTGCACTTTTTTAAAGCTGGGCAGTCCAGAAGTGCGAGGAATTGTATGCAAGAAAGAAGATCTCATGTCTTTGATGAGTGTTCCAGGAGCTACTAAGGAGAGAAGAGTATCTTCTCCTGCAGAACTAATCGTTCCTGTGTGTTCGAACCTACCCAGTTCGCCACTTCCCGTTCTGAAATCGCCTTCGCTCAAGGTAGCACCTCATTCTCCCCTCAACACTCGAGGCTCCTTTCGATCTTCGCGTTCCACCTCACTAGATCCCGCTTCTTTGCCTCGAATCTCACCACGGCCTTCATCAAAGAGTATTCTTCAGCATCATTTAGTCACTGATGACATCGACGTGAAGCCTGGTACTTTCTTAGAGGTCGTACCAGAGGTAAAGAGAAGATTATCTGGTCCCCTCATACAAGTAAAAGAGAGGATCCCAGAAGAGGATGAAAGTGAGACGCCCGTTCAGTGGGACGACAGCAACTTTGTTGATCCTAATCTCATTGGTGGGGCCATCGAAGCTTACCTGAAGGGTATGGGACCTTCGCCTACACCTACGCCCAGTACAGAGAAAAGAGTGTCCTTTAAAAAGAATCTTATTAAGTGAGGAGTTTCGATTTTTATCCTCATTCCATTGTCCGAATAAGATTAACGATGCAAATCCTCTTATACTAGATGCAAAAAGGGAAACGAAAAGAGTGAACTCATAGCTCTGATGGAAATTATTATTGCGTTCAGGCGAAATGTGAATCTTGATGAATAAAGAGCAATCACGAAATAGTGATTAAAAATTCTTTAAATCTTCTCTTCCATTGGGCTTTCAATTCACGTGGAATGCACATTTTTCTTCTGCACATGGGGGATTATCTTTGTATACTTCCCTGACTTTCAACGATTCTCAATCTTTCTGATGTAGAAATATGGGAGAAGAATTTGGAAACAAGATTTCTTCGAATTATTGAATGGAAAATATCGAACAACGAAACTTTTTGAACACTGTATACTTTAGTTAAAATATTAAATTTCATGTAAATTAGATTGAAACCTCTAAACCATAAAGAAGCCTCAACAAAGATAGTATAAACTCGGAAAAGACTTTTATTTTTAAAGATTATAGGAAAGATTTTTAATTTTATCGTCACCAATCAGTTTAATTAAAAAATACAGGGGTTGGACAAAAATATGGAAACACCTTTAAAAAAACATGTTTCTTTGCTTAATATGGTGTAGGAAACCCGTTGGCATCCAAAACAGCTTGCAGTCTTCACGAAATGGATAAATACAGTTCCTGTATGTTTGCCAAGGGAATATTACACCGTTCTTCCTGCAAAACGGTGGCAAGTTCAGATAACGATGTTGGCGGTGGATAACGAGAACGCACTTTCCGTTCCAATGTAGACCACAAAGATTCGATAATATTCAGGTCTGGTGACTGTGGTGGCCAGGGGAGATGGGGACAACTCATCCTCGTGGCTCAGAAAACCAGTCCTGGACAATGTGAGCTGTGTGAACAGGGGCTTTTGCCGTCTTTGGAAGACACCATCACCATGGGGGAACAAAGTTTGTACCATGGGATGAACTTGATCGGCCAAAATGTTCACATAAGTCTTGGCAGTCATGTGCCCTGACACAGTTATTATGGGGCTAGCAGAGAACCACAATATGGCTGCCCAAACAGAACCCCCGCCATATTTCACTCTTGGCAACAAGCAGTCTGTATTATAGGCTTGAGATGGCGTTCTTCAAACGTAAACTCGGCCAGAAGTGGGAAACAATGTGAAAGAAGACTCGTCAGACCATATTACTCGCTTCCATTGCTCTATAGTCCAAGTCCAGGCTTTATGACTTAAACACCACCTTTTCCTGTTACGGCATTAGCATCAGCTGATGAGTGGCTTCTCAATTGCACAGCACGGCCAGCAATTCCCTGTTTATGAAGCTCCCTTCTAATTGTTTTTGGTACTCACAGGGTTCGGTAACACAACATTCATTTCAGCAGTAACATTTGCAGCTGTGGTCTTCTTATTTTTTCGTCACAATTGCCCTTAATGATCGTCTGCCAACGATCACTCTCAGGACACACTTTCGTCCGCGCTGTGATTTAGCAGATGATGTTTTTCCGCTTTTCAAATATGCGGAATAAATCTTCGATACCAGTACCTCTTGAAACACTAAACACCTCGGCTACCTTGCCTTGCTTACGGAAGCACCTACCATACGTGCTCCAACAATTTGCCCACGTTCGAAGTCTGTTAACTCTGGCATAATGCAATGACAACCTCACATAACAGTACCCCGACAACAACTGAGCTGTTTAGCACATTTACGAAGTTGTATAGGTGGCGTCAGTAGTCAAAAACGCCAGCGCCACCTACATATTTCATTAAAATCAATCTTTCTTTTCAAACATGCATTTCACAAGGTGTTTCCATATTTCTGTCCATCCACTGTAATTACCAGATTAACACACTCTTTATATAATACGATTGTTGGTTGCCTGAAATAGTAATCGGCAATTACTTCTACAAATGCTTGTCATTAGCAGTTGTTTCGAGAACTTTATCAATACTCGTTTTATATGATTTTCTATAAAGAACCTTCAGAACTAATAGAAAAGAAACTTTATAATACTGCATACATTTCGTTTATTTCCTTCTAGTTTCGTACATTTCTGATCTATTGTTCTGAAGTATCGCACATGCTATAAATACACGGCAGACAAATCTCAAACATGGACGTCATAACAAAACTAATGAAGTGATTAGGGATGATATGGTCTTGAACTTTACCTCTATGAGTCTCATGAGTCTCTTTATATCTCTCATATGATCTTGAACTTTATAAGTAAATCCTACGTTTTCAACTCAATTCTTTTAATACCTATCAACCATATGTGAGTGATAAAGCTAATAAGCTAAAGAAAGCATTACAACCTACGTTATTTATGAAACGTGAAAGATATAAAAAAATATTTTTCAGCAAGCAATATCTAACTTAGGCTTTTTTTTAAAAGAAAGGACACTGAATAGCCAAAACATTACAGCTGCCCCCCCCGACATGTCAGTCTTCTTTTAGCACAGATAAAAGCCTATACGTGCAGCAATCTTGACTTCATGCTAGAGGATTATGCCCACTGTATCCTTGTCGACAACTCCGTTTAGGTTGCAGTTTCACAGAACTAACATTTATCTTATTACCATGTCACAGAAATCAAAGAGATTTAACAGAGCACAAATTCGAGAACACGGAAAAAATTACCTTTCTCCAGTATTGGCTTAGTGTAATATGGAAAATTTAAGTGCAAAATATTGTAAATCTAATGATTATTTACTGTCTCATTTACAAATGAGAAAATGAGGAAATTAGCAGAAACATAAAAGTTCAAAAATCTAAAATCTGAATCAAAAATATTAACTAAGTTAAAATTAAGTCAAATGGGCAATTTTATGAGAATTTACTTCACGAACTGAAAAATGTTTCCCCAATAAACATTTTTCAAAATCTGAGTTAAGAATAAAACTAAATTTAACCGAAAAAAAAAAAAAAAAAAAAAAAAAAAAAAAAGAAAGAAAGAAAAGAAGGAGGTCGTTTAGAAACCAACAACTGATAGAGCACTCGCAATTGCTTCTTTCATTATATTTACTTGAACGTTTTCACTTCGAAATGTGAGAGTCCTTCCAGGCTGTTCTTTGTATGATAAATCATAATTATGACTGTTGTTTACATATGAACTTCCAGGATAAACCCTGGATCTGGTTCGTGAACAAATTTCAAATTACTACCAACTTACACGGTTAGGCCTTTTGCGAAAATCTTTTCTTTCTTTGTCTATTCCCAGTTCTTCAGAAATATCAAAGGTATACGATTAAAATTAACAGTGGCAATTAACATATTAAAACAAATTGCATTCTACTGAGAATCACAGCAAGTTTATTAGTTGATGTCTCAATTGCGAAGAAGTTAGGATTAGAGATTCACACCTAAATGCCTAGGAACTTTTGAATGTGAATTTTATTAAAAAATAAAAAAAGGATTCCAAAAGCTATAGATCCCTCCGAAATAATGGAAGAATCTGTAGCTCTAAGCACATCTGTTTTGGTCAAAGTCTGAATTAAGAAACAACCTGAATTTTAAAAATGCTCTTCTCTTGTACTCTAGGACAGAAAAGTAAAATTAGTAAGTGATGAATATTTCTATATGGATTTTGTTTGTTTTTTTATCAGCCCTCTGATATATGTTCTGATATATTTTCAAGAACATATGCAACAGCCACATCTAATAAAATATTTGGAAACTTCATACATGGTCTTACTAAGGCAATAAGCCGGGAAATGTTTTTAAGACCGGTTTTAGCCAACAGATGACTGAAATGTAATTGAGATATAATATAAACCTTTAAAATGCTCGAATTTTTTAACCTATTCTGAATAAGAGTAATATTTCGAATTAACAGGGGTTCCCAACAAGAAGGAGGGGAATTTCATACCCATACCAACCGGGGGGAATATCACAGCTTTAGGGAGGGATTGTGATCTTTTATTTAGCTTCAGTATTTACTTTTAATTTATGAATATAAAACTACTTTTATTTAAGTTTTGGGATTTATCAACATTTACTGTCAATTTTTTCTGTTTAATTTGTAAAACACGTTAGAAAAGAATCTACATTTAAATAAAATGTTTATACATTTTTTGAGTTTTTTGAGTTAGGTGGGGATGATAGTCTAGCAATGAAGAGGTGCATGGGGAAAAGGATTGAGAACACTGGTTTAGAACAATAATTATTTACCTAGTCGTTTAGAAGTGTGTTATTTATTTTATCTTAGTTTCTGAATATTTAAATTAAAATTTATTTGTTCAGTTTAATTTTTGATCAACAGATGCAGAACCGTGTGCGTCCATCTAGTAATCTTAAAAATCCAAGCCATAAAAGATTTTGAAATTGTTTATTGTGTTATTACTGTTGAGATAAATAGAAACAAGAACGAATAAAACTTACAATTCTGAATTAATTTTTATGAGAATAGAGGTAAAAATGCACGCGAAAGTTACGATATTGCAGAAGACGAATAATTATTAACATCTTTAAATAAATATAAAATGTAAACCTATGATGTTTATTTCTGTACTTTTCAAATAGACTTGTTAAAAATTCTCTTAGTTTTTTTTTTTTTTTTTTTTTCCCTTTTATAATTATATCATAATAAAATGCTGTCCTCCTCATATGTGCTAGGTTGTCTCATAAATGAAGTGTGAGAGAAAATTTTGTGCATTCTGTTCAAATTAATCCTTTGTTTACAGCTTACCTATTCTGTAATGCTTCAGTAATAAGCTGGTTGGTCGCATTTTATGGTGCATAACCTAACAAGTTTATAAGGTTCTATAACAATAGGATCAATTTAACCAAAAGCATAAAGGTTTATTTCTTCCGAATGCTTCACATCACTAACCTTCTCCATGTATGCCAAAACATTTGTGATCCGAGCACGTTGTGTCAAGTCTCAACTTCTTATAGGTCACCGAGTATACCCTTTGTGACATATTCCATATCTTGTAGATTGGGAATAAAAAAATTAACTGTCGAGTCAATAGTATTCTGCATTTTTTGACACTGGATTTATGAGACACTCTATACTAGAATTTATCATAACAATTTGAAAAATGTTTCTGCAAATTTCTTTTAAACCGCCAGTAGTTTATCAAATTATAATCCTTTCTTCTTCAAGAATCTTGTATAACTTTTGCTATTTTTCTGTTGCATGCTACATAATATTAGTGTATAATGTGTAATATCTTCTCTTATGAAATGTTTGAATGTTTGAATATATTTGAAATGTTTAAAGTATTTACTTTTCTTAATAGAAATGTTTATTTGGTTCTTAAATAAATGTTCTGGATTAATAATTAATTGCTCTATGATAATTGGTGGAATGAGTAAAGTGTACGAAACATTACTTACAAACTGAAATGGTTGGTGGCTACTAAGCGAGAAGTCGGAAATAGCAACCTAATCAGCTAAACGTCTAAATTTGATGTGTTTACAAATCTCCTTTTAGAATATTTTTTTGTGTACAGAACATGTGTATGCATCGTGTAATTCGCTATCAAACTAAAAACTATCATTGTGTGCATTGCTTGTATCTCTATGTGTCCTTGAGAATAAATATCTTGTAAAAACCTAATCATTATTAATTTATTTCCTTCTCTT